TCTGTTGACACAGGGTTAGCGTCGGGGGTAGAAAATCTCTTGGTAACCTCTTTTGCAAGTGGGGTGGATGGAACAGAATCTGAAATCTGTTTTTGCATTGGGCCTTTGTTGCTTGCACTCCAAAGGAAAATTCTGGTAATCTGCTAAAATCATAACTGAACATGAATATCAAAGAGACCTAGGCCCAGACTGCTGCTGAAAAAACTGGCTGGGATCAGCTGCAGCAGAATGGGAGGGTGAGAGAGAGAGAGGGAGAGAGAGAAAGAGGAAGTGTGTGGCTGGACTTCACTTACACAGAATGAAGAAATTACATTTAAAAGTAAACCTGTGAAACAAATATTGTTTTTACTGCAGCTATCCAAAAGTTAGGAAATATCAAGATTTACAGGTTCACAAGACACTTGAATTCAGCTCCCTGTGTACATGCACTGTGGTATAGAATCATAGTATTTTTTTCTTTAAGACCTTGGTCTCATTTAATACACAGCCTGTATACAAAAAAGGGCAGGTTAAGATTATATTGGCAATTATAAATACATTTGCCAAATGTATGCCTGATTCTGCTTCCTGAATAACTTAGGATTTTTTATGCATACCCATTTTGCTTTGTGGGTTACCTTCTTAAAAAAAAAACTTTAAGACACTTTTTTTTGTTAAAGCAGTAATTGGTATTAACCGCAGTATACTGTGGAGGTTCCCAAACTTTTTCTTATTGTGTAATAATAATCTGGTAATTCCAGATTTACCAGCTGCCCGTGTACTCCAGTAGCAAAAATTTTTATATTTCAACCCCTTAAATACCATTTATTATTATTATAATAAAAATTGAATCCACCATTACATAATTTCTCCCATGTACCCCTCAGAGACATCTTGCGTACCCTGGTATGTGATATGGTAAATCAATTCTGATGCCAAAATATGCATGTCAGACTGTTGTTACTCATTATTATATACTACAGTAGTATCCAGACACCTTAGAGAAGTGCCCCAACTTACAAAGGCATTGTAGAAAACCTATGGTAAGAGACAGTTTGTGTCAAAGAGCCTACCATGTAAATAAGCCAGAATAGAAGAAAAGTAGTATTTATTCTTAATCTATAGGATATGAAACTGAAGTAAAGAAATCAGTGGGTCATGGTTTTCCTTTAAAAAGTAATATATTTGGTTAATAACATGATATTTTAAAAGTATTAATTTGTTTAACCTTTACCTTGCTAAAGGCCGTCTGGCTCTATTAACAGCTTCAAGATCAGCATAACGGAGATCTAGCTGGCAGCCAACCAGAATAACAGGTGTGCGAGGACAGAAGTGCTTGATTTCTTGATACCACATTGTTTTCACATGATTCAGAGAATTAAGATTAGCAATTGAAAAACACAGAACAACTACATCAGACCTGGAATGATATCAAGAAGAAGAATAAGTGTATTTTCAAAACAGAATGCATCTTTGAATTTCAGCTTTGTGTATTTTCTATCAGTTCAAGCTGAAGCTATTCAACCACAAACAGCAAAAAATGCAATAAAATTCAGATGTCAGAATACACCTCATCCATAGCATGGTTTGATAAGAGCTATGCATTCCACCACAACAGCATATAAACATAATGTATCAGACTTAGGAAGCTTCCTTATTCCACAGCAGATGTTAGGTCTGTGCAACTACAAGGAAGACTTGCTCTACTCTAAGTTAAAGTTACCATGGTTAAGAGTTCACCATTCTATTTTTCATACACAAAAACCTTTCTGTTTACCAAAAACTCACTTTCACATTTTATGCAAGGATTCAAAACAGTCAAATGAGGAACGAAAACATATTTCTGAAATTGCAGGCAATGAATATTTACCATATGTTTTTATATACAATAATGTAATGACCCCACCCAACAATTATTGCACTGCAATAAGGTCTTCAGTAAACAAAGTCATTAAACTCAAAATTGTTGTAGAATTTCCAGCCAGCACTGATCATTTCTTTAATGGAAGTTAAGTGCTTTAAAAAGGCATAATATAGTAAAATAGTTACCAATAAAGACAAAGTTTGGTAACCTTTGTGGATTTTTAGGAAAAATTCTTTATCAAAAGAAATTGTTACACAGAAAGTGTATGCATGGATTAAGACTTTTTTCTGTAGCAAAAAAATCAAGAAATGTATTCTCTCATATAACACATGTACCTTTCCCCCAAACGCCAGATGCTGGAAACGAGAGTGTACATTTATTTCAGAGATACGGTAAGAGCAGGTTCTGTCACTTACCAACTGAAACAGAAAATATGATCTGCAGGGATCCACAGGGAACAGAACAACAAGCAGGCTCAACTCCCTAGCTACTGCTACTTAGTTACTTATTACAAGGAAATATTTTTCCCCTTCATTCTACTTTTTAAAAACAAGGTGTTTATTATATTCCATGGCATGGTATATGCAAGAAAATATGGTACTTGTTTTATTTCACAGGTTCTTTTGTCACAAGGAGGGTCCACATCTAGAAAAATTCTTCAGAATCTACTTAAGCATTTTCTTCAATTGAGTCTAAGCCAGTATTCAAAAAGTTGAGACAGGTATCACAAACTGGCTCTTACCACTTGGTCCCTCAGCAAACAGATAAATCTTGGAAGCATTCTGAATATTATAGACTAGAAATTGTAAATGCCAAGAAAAATGATGAATCGAATCTTTAAAAAGAATTGGGAGAAGGGGGAAATAATTCTTTAGGGATATCATCTGCAAAAAATATCAGAAGCTAAACTCAGCCATAAACTGCTCATCTTGCTTCTATTAATCTTTAATTTAGCACAACTTTATTGTATCTACAGTTTGGGTAATGAGCTAGATTGGTGAATCTCAACATTTTGCCTTTTAAATCATTAATGAAATATGTTCTCAGTACAGCTGCTTTCTATACTTTCACTCTCACTGAGGACACAAATATATCTAGCCATTTCTAAAGAAAGCTACATGCATGAATACTGGGAGCTTACAGTTAATACAAGAGAAGTGATCTTGCATTTAGTTTATATTTGATATAAAATTACAGCACATCCATAGTGTCCAAAGAAAATGCACTTTAAATTTGAATAAGTTATCAGTTAAACAAAGGGAGGTATACGTTAAATACACTAACCTTTCACAACTTTGGGGATTTGCTTCAAAAAAATCACACGATCTCAAGTACAATGGGCTTGAGAATCAAATCTAGTCTCTAGTGATAATTTGTCCAGATGACAAAGCAACTACAGAGTTTTGCAGATAGGAGTAACCACAGTAAGGTGAAGAGTTACTGGGGGGGAGAGGAGTTTGCATTTTGTCTACCACATAATGTCAGGCTCTTATATCTCTTCTTATTGCTTAAATTTACACTCATTTGAAGTGGCAGAAAGGTAATTATGAATAACTGAATAAATATCTGACCATTAAAAACTGGTTTTAGATTTTACAGTGCAGCTGGTCAGGATGTCTCGCTCAACCTGCTGGTCATAGGTTACCACTATAACTCTCAGGAGATTAAAAATTTATTGGGTGCTGTTCCAGGGACATAGGTGTGGGGGGCCCGCACCCCTGGAGAGGAAACCCAGAAAATGAAGATTACTTACCCGCTTTAGGGCTCTGGACTCCAGAAGAGAGACGCTGACAAGAAAATCTTGTGCAGTTTGTCAGCCACACCTATATACAGCTGGGGCTGGCGGGTGATGTTATGGACAATCATGGCCAGCCAGAATAAAAGCTGGCACCAGCTGGGAGCCGGGGAGAGCGGGAGAGGCAGCAGGAGCTGCGGATGTTCTCCATACCGGTGGCGATCAGTGCTGGCAGAACAAAAGAGATGCCAATTGGTCAGGGATACCCAGGCAGCAGTGGCTGCTGAAGAACCCCACACCAGTCACGGGCAGAACCGGTGTGTGGGGGGAGACCCCGCTTCAGGAAGAGCCAGGAGAAGATCGGGAAGCGGACAACACTCCCCACACCAGGCATGTATGGACTGGGTTGGGGAAGGATAATTAGCTGCGAGACAGAAGCCCAGGAAGCTCTGTCAGGGCAGAGGGTCGAACAGTATTGAGAGATGCTGCTAGGCACAGGCTTTAGGTACAGTCTAATAAGGCTGTCCAGCCTGATCCTAAGTTTTCCTTTTATGTACCTGCCTTTATTTTCTTTCCAGTGTGGTTTTCTCCTTTTGTTCCCTACTAACCTGTGCCTGCTCTTCTGTTGCCTTTTATCTTTCTTTGTACTTCTTATTTTGTTGACTACTCAGTGAGGGGCCCAGGTGGCAGCTGGACACCAAGGACCATTCACGAGGAGCGGCAGTCACCTGACGGAAAGTAAGAGTGACCCACAGGAGAGGAAAATTTCCAATGGATTCATTGTCCATCAGGAGAAGAAGAAAACCCGATACCTGGAACAGGTGATGGGTAAGTCATCAAGACCGGAGGGCCAGCTGCCTCAAGATCAGGTGGCCTGCCAGAGGCTGGCGTATGGAAGGGGTGTAGGGGAGGTGGAGCTCCACGAATATGCATCAGGAAGAATAACCAACCTTGAGGGACCACCAATGGGGAATCCCACCACTGAAGAAATACTCAAAGTCATGGCAAGTGAGTTCTGGGTTTCTTCCTGGGGTGATTGGGGTCCCTGTCAGAGGTTGCACAAAGTCTCCTTGTCCCCATCACCAGGCGTCTGTGCCAAGGCGGTGCATCCGTGGGTACTCGAAGCAAAGGGGGCACAGGTGCTTATACATGTGCTTTGTGGGGGTGTTTAAGTTAGATGAACTTTAGATAAAGCATCCTTGCCACCATTTTGAAGCATGGGGATACTGATACACAAGACATGGAGGCTGGCTGGAGTGCGGTAGTTACCACACTCCAGCAGATTTGATTGACTGAATCTGTTCCAGTGCGCGGTACTTACAGAGCATTGGAGCAGCCTCTGTGCTTGAGTATATTTTCTACCTGGATGAACCATCTAACAGGTACCAACAAGATCTTGCATTGTGATGAGAAGCTTGTTCCTCCTGTTATGGTAGGACAAATGTTATTTTTGTTGGAAATTACAGGATTTGACTTATTTTCTCATATTCCTTGTTGAGTGAAAAAAAAAAGTCATTATGGGAAAGTACATGAATTTTCTAAATTGTAGTGCCTAAAATCCCCAGTTGGGTCCTCACTGTCTTTGTACTGTACACACGCATAGTAAGAAACTGTTTCTATCCATAAAGAGCTTGTAATATTAACATAAAAGAAAGGAGGCGAGAGAGATGCTGAGTACACTTGACAGGCCAGGGCCAAACAAAAGCTGAGAACAAAATCCAAGTTTGCTGATTCCCAAGTAGTCAGAAAAGTCCTGACTACTATACTCCTTTGTGTATAGTACAGTTTGAACCAGCAATTTGGGCAATTTAAATCTTATGTTTCTAATTCAAGAGGCTAAAAATTTATCCCATGTGCCCCCAAGTAAAAAAAGTACAGCTTAATTTATTAATAAAATGGAGAAAGTCTGATTTAAAACCAGGCCTTGACATCTCCACACATTACAAGCTGCAATCGCATTTGTTTAACTTACCTGAGGTCACGTAACTGTAAAGAATTTTAAAAAAATCTATTTTATATCCATTTCTATGTGCTTTACTTACCTTTGCTGTTCCTTTCTCAGCTTGAACAATGATAAAAGACAATCTGTTCCATTTCTATGTATAGTCAGCTTTTATTCTATCTGTATCTTCAGTAAATGGAGTTTAAACACTAGATAATTTTTAGTGAATACACACAAAAAACCCTACCAAAGTACAGTAATATTTCATGAAGACATCTAAAATTTTAAATATATAACATTTTGACATTTGATAATGAATATTTAATATAAAATACTAATTTAGAACTTCTTCATGGCACTATCCATAGGGTATCAGGAAACATAGATGGGTAACATGCAAGGTACCTGTCTATGTAGCATATAATTACAGTATTACATATGCTGAAATGCGATGTGAAATGCCATGTAATAAAGTTAAGTACTGCCAGAGTCCCAAAGAGGTAACTGCAGCAATTCAGTCTATGATCTTGGACATTCAAAACTGCCTTCCTTATGTCTTCAGAATATGAACATACTGCTAGAGGTATGTAACCAGACTATTTATTTTGTGGATTTACCAAAAGTTAGAGATAAATATGAACAAAGCGTTATGGTTTGCGACTACATTCTTATAATCAAACCCCATAATTACTGGCCCTGAGTGGCACCAATAATTGCAAATCAGTTAACACACGCTGGAAGGATCTGCCTCTACTGCCAAAAGCATCAGAATAACTTGTTTCCATGCTACCAGGCTGCTGGACAAGAGAAAGTGCAACATAAATCTGAAGAATTTGACAGATGTAAATTGTGAATATTTCTTTCACATTCACACTCAGC